GGGTCGCCAACACTTTCTAAGAAATTTATAGTAACCTTTTAAAAAAAAATCTGAAAAAATAAAGTATGCTTCAAATATATATAGTTTAAAAAAAAAACTAAAAATGGTTTTCAGGTTTTCTCTTTCTTATGCATTTCCTCTATAAAAAAATATATATCTTTGAAAGTACCATATGCTTTATCGCTATCAATATTTAAATTAATATAAATCAAAAGTTCATTTTTTATTAGTGAGATATTCGTTTTATTTCTCGCATCTCACCATTTCAAAATCTTTCTGTGAATGCCGAAGTTGCAGGAATAAAGAGCATAAGCGAAATAATTTTAAGCAAATTTGGTAAATCTTTCTAAGTATTTTTAAAAATGCCGCCATTTTTGATCTGTGGACCCTTTGTTTTAAAGTATATTTATTTTAATATTAATATTTCTGTATAAATGTCATCTATTTTAAAACATTTCTTTCTTACAAATGACCGAAATATATTTATATTTATAATTCAAGAAATATAGTATTTTTGCATACTATATTTTTTTCCAACAGAATATAGTACACAGACCCAAAAAATAGTACAATACTATATGTTATAGCATGGTTGGCAATCCTACTCTAAAGGTCAACATTTTTTTACAGTGCATTAATTTTTCTCTAGTTGATCTAGATTATTTTAAAAATCTCGTATAAAACTACATTTAACATTAACCTTGTCTGTAGTAAAATTTAACGGCGCATATTTTTGTGGAACATTTTAACCCAATTTTAATCACCCGCGTGGGTCGGATTAACCTTTGTTTTGACAAAGTTTAGTAATTGAAATTTCCCCCTCTTCCTGTCGTCCTATCGATCTGAAATCCGCTAACTGATTGTTTAATCTTACCACCGTTCCTTACCAGACCAATGAGCTTTGCTCCTTTACAAGGCTGATATAGTGATCGTCGCAAGGCGCCATGTGTTTTTTACCTTTCCCACCCGTAGAGCATGACCGTGACGTAGACGTTTCTTCTCTCTCTTTCTATCAATAGCAAACGTGATATCTTTCCACGTACTTCTACGCTACGCTACGTACACGTCCCCGTCAGTACGAGCGATTTAAGTCTTCCATTGAAGGAGGTCCGGAATCGAAAATATTAAGAAGTAGTAGTTTTCAGATGAATTCCTTAGGAAGCGGTCACATATATACATACATATCGTCCTTTAAAGTACAAACCCGCGTAGCGTCATTCTGCAAAACCGCGTAACTGACATTTGCTGCCAAAAATTGGATTTGCTCCCACAAGCTCTTGGCTCAATCCTTATCCATTTGTCCTGAAATATACTAGCCATAAATGCGATTTCTTTATAAGAAAAGAGAACCATTTTGTAATATGAGTGTTTTTACTCTCTAGAAAATAAGTTTTGCAACCTCACATACGCGGTTTTGCATTTTGTTGATACGCGGTTTTGTACTTTAAACGACGATATGTACATATGTATGTATGTATCTTTTTATGAATTCCTTCCCACCATGCAAAACATGAGAAATAGGCAACAATCGTCAATGGCAACAAATTGGCGACTCACCGATTTATTGCTGTGGTGACAAATCGGCAACATCACTTCGTTCATGTCAATTTTGAATAAAAAAGTTCCGAAACTTATGAATATGGCGTCAATAGTATTGGCCAAAAGCGTCTAAATTATGCCCAAGGACAAGATTGAAAAAATAGGAAGTCTCACAGCGAGAAAATGAATTAATTCCGATTGTAAGTTGCAATTTGGTATACAAAAAAATAAATGAGGTATTAAAAAGAATAAAATTATTCCAAATATCGCCTGAAGCGATAAGAAAGGGACTCATTCAGGTAATAAGAAAACGACTCGCCCAGGCGAGTTGCCTTCGGCGGACGTTTTAGAGCGACCGGTAATAGGAAATCGATTCGATGGCAATATTACCGGAAATAAATTTGTTTCCGAGGGCGACACGTTTTCTTATTACCGGCAACACAAATTGTTTGGTGGGTTATTGCATTTTTATTATTTCCACTATATGTGTGCATATATTTACTTACATATTTATATTTGTAATGGATGATAAATATCTTCTTTTTTTATTTTTATTCAACTGCATCCCAGCCACCTTTGCCCAACCACAAACAATTATAGACCATATTGTGGCATTTCGAATATGCACATGTGTACTTACATACATACATACATACATACGTGCATACCCAACTAATTGGCATCTCGTGCGAAGCAACGCCTAAGCAAATAAACAACAATGCTTCGCATACAAAGTATCGCATTAGCGTGTGAAGACGTGAGTAATTAGCAACCGATATGTACACGTACAAATTATGACGAGCAAACAATTACATACTTACACACATACATATATACGCAAACGTAAAATGCATAAATGCGTATCTACTTGGACGTATATTTGGTGAATTGTACCCTAAGCAAGGTTGCCATTTCGGCCGAAATGTAACAACGGCTTTAACAAATAATCTAATCTGGGCAAAAAGCTACCTTCGTGCCAAAATTCAAGAAAATCGGACTATAAATACGATTTTTTCGAATTGATCGGCGCCTAGTCCTCTTAGCGGAAAAAAAGGATCATATATGTTAATCCAGGCAATAAGCTACCTACTTACCAGATTTCAAGCAAATGGCACCAAAAATAAAATTTTTTCCAATAAGATCGAGCCCTGGTCCACTTACCGGAAAAAAGGCAAAAAGCTACGTGCGTAGCAAATTTCAAGCAAATCGGACCATAAATAAGGTTTTTTCGAATAGATCGGTCACTGGTCCACTTACCGGAAATAGGGGATTCTATATGCTTATCTGGGCAAAAAGCTACCTGCCTACCAAATTTCAAGCAAATCGGACCATAATAAGATTTTTTTGGAATAGATCAGCCCCTGGTCCATCTGTGACATGGTTGTTCCTCAAAGCTTTTTATATATACAAAATTTCATGTAAATCGGGCCAGCCGTTCGCGAGATTACCTGTTACAAAAAAAAGGGACTTCTCTTTAAATAATTAGTATAGATATCACCAATGTGTAAATATTTGTAAAATATTTGAATAATTAAAACTATGTTGGTACATTTTTTACAATTTGGTACACACAAAAAAAGAAGTAATTGGCAACCCTGACTGTAAGCATATTATAAGTGCAAGAGCTCAGCACTAAATGCAGCTAACACTTGTCCGCCAAGTGGATTTGTACTAAGGCATCTAGCCCCGGGATTCGGGATCTCGCGGGAGTCCCGAGCCTTTTTTTAAATCCGAAATCCCGGGATTAAGCCCACGGTATTCCGGGATATAATTTAATTTACGACAAAATTTAAATAGAAGGAAATTCAGAAACTGTAATGGCATACAAGAACTGTAAAGAATTACAAAATATAAAGAATTATAAATTATGCCAACCATTTGCATTTTATTGTTGTGAATTTACGAATGCACCGAAATATGCAAATGCAAGATCATGTGCACAAGAAACTGAACAGCCTTAATGTATTGAAAACCTTAGCAATAAAAGTTAAATGAGGTTGCCACCTATTCGTGATTAAATACAAATTAATTAAAACATCATACTATGAGTATCAAATGGAAGGTATTTTAAAGATACCTAATTTAAAAATATATTTAATAGGGCTGCCACCTATTTCGAATCGCATTATTATTTAATTTTTTGTTTAGAAAAAAACGTTAAATATTACTATTAATGGGTACCAAGACAAGGTTCTTAAACAATGCTTTCCCTATATACAAAATGTTATCCCTTAGGATGATAGTGTAAGGTTGCCACTTATTTTCGATTCCCCACAATTTATCTTAAACATCGCAATATGGATATCAAATGAAAGGTATTGTTGAGAACTTTGGTCAGAAAATATTTTCCATAAGGGATGCCACAGTACATATACGCTCAAGATATGTACCATTCATTCCAGCGTATTTCGGAATAGGGTTGCAACCTAAATTTTGGAGTAAGAAATTTACTTAATAAATATCAAAATCCATTTTTTTACTTCCAAAATATTTTTTTAAGCTATCAAAATCTGGAAAACTTTAAAAAGTATATGCACTCCGGGCAAAGCTCGGTCAACACTAAATAATATTAACAAACACATGAGTACATAATAACAAATATACATAAGTGTAAATGTGATCTCTTGCATTTCACTTTTTATAGAAAGGACTGCGACTGACTGTAAGGTGAATGCATTTCAGCTTCTTAGTTTTTGTTTACTCCGTTTGTAATTAGCTCTTTAAATTGATATCGAATAAAGACATGTACATATATATCTTTCCTTAAAAGCACAAATTTATTTTTATTTCTAGTATTCACACTAAAGCAAGACTACAAAACTAGGAGGTTGTTAGCATATTTAAATTAAAGGTAATAATATCCCGGGATTACCAATTTAAAATACCGAAACCCCGGGATTCACAAAATAGTCCGGGATTGGATGCCTTAATTTGTACACACAACACAGCCACACAGACATCGTTAAGTTTCTTCTACGGTAACCGCGGTATGGTAAACGCACTTTGAAGAGCAAATGCTCGCATGTATAGTAATATGTATGTAAGTGCTGAAAGCACCGCAAGCACATTAGTCAACACTCAATAAATCACTTTTTGGGAAATCGTACGCAAGAGCCCTTCGAAAAAAAGATGGATGGTTAAAAATGGTAATGTATACAATGAACAAAGCCAGTAAAAATGCAACATATGAAAGCTTAAAACCTTAAAGCAAAAACTCAATTTGTTTGAATATTCAATTGTATTGTAGCAGCTTCGAAAATGTCAGTGCGATTAATGACCGCTCGAAAGCTAACAATTAACAGTTCGTCAGAGCGATTGGTGGGGCGTAGCGCAGCGTTTGTCGCATGACTAGCTACATATTTATTTCTGTTTATAAGTCGCTACGCAATAATTTTCGACTTTCAATTTACGGCAGTAATAATTCGCATGCGTTGTAGAGCTGCTCCTCAGTTGGTGTGAAACAATCGGTTTAAACGGTTTAGTTTTTCGTTTAAGAAATATAACGCATTCTTCAAATTCTTTCTGACTCAATAACTACTACACTTATTGCATACCGTGTGCTTCTAAGATACGCCCGTCTGACCTCGTCTTATCACCTACCAAGTTGCAGTGAAAACATACATACATACATACCAATATCACTTGGTTGCATACATACTTTCACGTCCAAACGGCCGCCCCGCCCGCCCACTTGCTGCCTTCACATTCATTCACTTGCCGACAATGGACAATGCTATTGTCTTTTATGCCTTGGCCACTGGGCTGTTGTTGTTATGGATTTACTTCCTGTGGTCACGTAGGCGTTTTTATCGTGTTGCTTGGCAGTTACCCGGCCCCGTGGGTTTGCCATTCATTGGGTTGGGACTGCAAATGATGCATCCGGAGAGTAAGTGCGCCGCTATTAAGCCAGTTATGGAAGACGTGCAGTTAGTTGGAGTGAATAATTTCAGAAATTATATTTTTAATTAAAGAAGTATTTGTGGTGTCAACTTTAATTCATCTTAAAGAGAATAGGTTTGAATTTTTGGAAAAATGTTTGTTTTTGAATTCTTAAGCCTTATGGCAAGTCGTTGCCATACATCGTTAAACAAAAAAGTGAAATTTAGGCTTTTAAATAGTTTCATCCAAACGTATGTAGGTATATATGTGCCAGGTGCCTTGAGTTTAGGATTTGTAAACCTCATAGTGGTAGTATGATGAGATCCTGTCAGATCAACGCCGTATACTCTTTGAGTTCAATTTCGCAGCGCGTACATCCGCTACTTTAAGAATTCTCGAATTCTCCCAAAAACCCAGGGGAATTATTTTCAAAGTATTTAAAAACGAACTTGCCGTCAGTTTGTACTGTTTAAATAAAGCCTTCGGCAAGGTTTTTACGAAAGCATAACTTTTGAGGTACTGCAAGAAAGCTCACATACCATGGAGTAATGATGAACTTACAAAGCTTCGTACTGAAATCTGGATCTGGAACAAGTATAAGACAATCTTTGACGGGTATAAAATGCCATAGGTATGCCAAGGAGGCTTCCTTGAAGGAATTTCGTAAATCTATCAAGGATATAAAGTAGGCATTGCAAACTCTTAGAAGGTATTTAATTCTGAATAATGTCCTACGAAGCTGCTGTGAGATTCTGACAATCGCTAAATTTTCGTAGTCAAAATTCTGTAAATAAAATGCGCAATCAGCCAAATTTGACAGCACGAGGGCATGTAACTGAATATTGCGTGTTATCAGGTGCGCCTGGTATTCTTGTGGCGCTAAAAATTAGCTAATGTCCGTCTACTTGAGGAAAATAGGTGTAGACTTTATGCCTTAAGTTGGGGAAACGTGGCCACAACAATGCTAAGCATTTCAGGTCAACAACAGAGAGAGAATATCTGGGTATTTGTATATCAGCGACGATGTCAGATAGGGCCTTCCTAAATTAAGGTAGCGATATATAGTTTCAAGTTTTTGTAAGACAATAGAAAGACAGTACGTAAAATAGTTTGAAAGATTTTTGGCCTTAAGCTGCCTTTACATGAGTCGATTTTCCAGGTGATTCAACATTGCTCTGGAAAATTCGCTCGTGTAAATGGTGATTCGAAAATCGCTTGCCTCAAAGTAGACAGCGAAGTCAACTTTTGCAAGCTATCGCCTGTCAAAAAATCGCCTCATGTAAAGGCAGCTTTATTCATTAAAAATATAGTAGGTTTAAAGAGCTTCATATAATGATGTCTCCATAAATTTTTCAGTCTATAAACCTTGTTTAAAGCTACTTTATGTTTATACAAGCACGAAAGTCTTACAAAGAAGCTCACTATCCAGCTTTCATGTTGTTCATATATCATTTTGCTGGCTCTGCTTCAACAGTCCCAATGGCCGAGGTTCGAATCCTCGTTTTTTAATTTTTAACCGACTTCACAAAAAGGAGGAAAGTTTACAAATCGGCGGAATATTTACTTTTTTTTATGTATGTTACCGCATAACTTTAGACTACGTTAACCGATTTCTATAATTCTCTTTTTAAAGGAAAGGTGTTACCTCACAGGTGGTCCTATTCTAATTTGGTTTAAATCCGATCATTAGATCATAAAGAGATTAACGGTAATCTTAAATTTTTATATAAGAATTGAAGTCGGTTTGGTTTTTTGCTTAAAAATTACTTGTTATATGTTATTGGTTTAAAAATAAAAATATATATTTTTTAATTTGGTTTAACTTTTTTAAACTTATTTTATTCATTTATTCTTTTTTAATTCATTTTTTCTTATCTAATCTAATTTTCTTTTGATTCTTAGATTTTATTGTTTAAAAAAAAATATTTTTTTTTACTTCATTTAATGTTTAGAAACTTATGTACATTACTTTTTTATTCTCATTTTCGTGGTTGGTGTTTCCGACAGGGTAGGAGTGTGATGTAATGTGGAACGATTTTCCGTCATCCCTTGTCAAATTTGGTTTAGAGACAAGCCAAATTTGACAAGGGATGACCGAAAATCGTTCCACATTACATCAATACTTTTTTATTTAAATTTCCTTTTTTTAATTCAATTTCCTTTTAAAATTAAGATTTTGTTGTTTGAAAAATATTTTCTTTAGTTTCATTTCATTTGTAAAACTCATTAATTTTTATTTTAGAGACAAACCAAATTTGACAAGGGATGACTGAAAATCGTTCCACATTACATCATTACTTTTTTATTTAAATTTCCTTTTTTTAATTTAATTTCCTTTTAAAATTAAGATTTTGTTGTTTGAAAAATATTTTTTTTAGTTTCATTTCATTTTTAAAACTCATTAATTTTTTTATTTTTTTATTTAATTATCTTTTAACTTTTAGATTTTCCTGTTTTGAAAAGAAAAATATTTTTTTTTTTTCATTTAATTGTTCGAAAGTGTTTTACGTAATTCCCTTTTTTTATTTTTCCCTTTTTTAATTTCATTTGCTTCTAATTTTTACATTTATTTTCTTAAAAAAATTTTACTTTAACTTACATTATTTAATTTTTAGAAACTTTGTTTTATGTAATTTATCATAATTTTTAGAATTTTTTATTTTTAAAAGAAAAATATTTTTTTTCTTTTTTTTTAATTTACATAATTATCTTTTAAGTTTTAGTTTTTGTTGTTTTAAAAGAATATATATATTTTTTATTAAATTTACTTTTTACAAAACATATTATTAAAACCGAATAACGCTAAGACATCCTCGTTAGCAGATCATTCAATTGCCCTGTAAGCCTACAGTATTTCGTACTCACGATATTTGAAAGGCTCTTAGATTTGACAGAAGACAGGGTGTCCAATTTACCACATTTTCAACAAGTCTGCCTAAAAAGGAAGTAAATGGAGACCATACTACACCAAGTGGTTCAATACAAACTGTTTACCATGACTGCCACAGATCGTACACTTCTATAATACGACCCACACATCCATATGGAGCGGCAGTCTGGTGGACTTCCCTCACTAAGGATTGCGTCGTTAAAAAACATAAAGGAATTCCGCCGGAAACTCTGAATGATCTGCTCCTTTATTACAGATACATAGATCTTTATAAAGATTTCTGGAAAGAAGAGAGATTCGATCTTACTGTCATTCTAAAACAGCGATGAGCAGACAGAGCTTTTACTCTACGCGCGGCTATACAAAATGTGAAGAAAGCATAAAAGAGCTTGCCCGCGGGCAAGGCAGAGCCCATGACCATTCTAAATATACTCCCATCTGATAAAAAGCGACGAAAACCCTGTACAAAGTTCCGCAATGGCTGTAATCGGCTTGTGGGCATTGCTATCTTTACAGTTGGATCAAAAATGAAATGCGGGGTAAGAGCAGGGACTTAATTGATAAACTTAATCTGAAGCTTTCCTTTCGCCTTACGGGGCACGCAAGCCGTTTTTCAGGCAGATATATTCGCAATTAAAACGGTGATAAGTTACATAACCACCGCGTAGCCGCGAGAATTCTGGCTGAAAATATTTTAGATAGCCATAATACCATAATTAAAGTCACAGGGTACAGTCAGAATATTCGAAAGGTATGGGATTGCCATACCCACTTAAAACCAGTTCTGACAGCTAAAAACCAAGAGACGCCGCACTCAAGGAGATGTTATGGGGCTTATTAGTAGATAAAAACGCCCTCTAATATTATTCGAAGATCATTTATTTATATGACTGCGGAACGGTAGGTCTGAATATCAAAGCCGTTAAAACAGCCATCAACCCTTTCAGTAGAAGGAGAATTCTTTAAGGATTTCATACATTAATAGTGGCAGAAATAGAGATAGAAACGTGCTCCTGTAGGAAATATGTATCTCACAGTCATCTTTGTCCGCCCCTAAAATGTTATGGATCACGCACGTAGAGTACGCGAGGATCCCGACACAATTTTATCAATTTTTTTCCTCGATAAAATATCTTCCATTTCATATATCGCACTCTAAACTTATTATTACTTAAGTTTATAATACAACTTTTTTTAAATCCAAAAAATATCTATATGTACATTAGAGTGGTTCATTTTTTTTTTATTAGGCGGGGATGGTATAGGAGTATCGTACAGGAAATTTTAAGCAAATTTCCCGAAGGAATAATGAGTCTAAATTTAATTACGAGTTGGTTTTTTTCATTAGCACTGTTTACATTTTTTATATAAACATGTTATAATGGGTTTTTAGGTATGGGAAATTATTTTCTAGACTTATCGTTTTCTTACAACCTTCACCAGAGGACGAAACAATTTTTCTCATATTTTCGTGCGTGTAAAAAAATTAAATAATTTTTTAAACATACAACTAAAATTCAATAGAAAATATAAGTAATTAAACGCTTATTTACGACACTACACGCAAACCAAAATGTTGCTAAGGAAAAATTGGAAAGCTGAAAATTTGTTTAGACCCTTTGTTTCATCGGCAAATGCGTTCAAAATGTCACGTAAGATAGCATAGTAAAAAAACAATCCCATACAAATTGACCCGCCCTAATGTAGATATGTACGTATATTTGAAAGGAAAAAATACCTTCGACAGCCCATTCTCAGTTTATTTCATTTAAAGCATTTCTATACATAGTTAGATTTTTTTCCTAAATAAGTCTTTCTTTCACTCAGCCTTCCTTCAATATATGGAACACACATCGAAACACTATGCGACGCCATTTATTTCATGGATGGGCACAAGTTGTTTCCTCTACGTTAATGACCCAGAAACAGTGGAAACGATTTTCAATTCACCCCATTGCACAAATAAAGGCGAATTCTATCGCTTCATGGCAGCGGCAATTGGCGATGGGCTCTTCACATCCAGCTGTGAGTAGAAGAGATTTGCTCCTTTATTCAGTCACGCCACCTACACACAGCCACATACATATTTATCACACATGAAAACACTCTAATAGACCTTACATACATATTAAAAGCAAGTAATTGCATAGGTCGTGCCAACACTTAGCCTGCGCTGATTGACATTATATGCCACTTTGACCATCATTTGTGAAGTTAATTTGGGTCCGAATAGCTGGCGAGTGTTTTTCAAAGTCATGTCTATATTATAATCACAATCTAAGCATACCCTTAAGCGCTCAACCAAGCATTCATTCTAGCACATACATATTTATTAGGTCGCTCATACATTACAAACATACCTATTTACTGCCTACTTGCAGCTCCGCGCTGGAATAAGCATCGTCGCCTTATCAATCCAGCTTTTAGTCGCCAAATTATCAACAACTTTTTGCCCATATTTAATGTTGAAGCTAATGTGTTGCTGAGTAAATTTGCCACGTTGGCAAAGGCCGGCACGCAGCTGGAGATCTATGAGATGTTGAAACGCAATGTGTTGGAAGCAGCGTGTCGTAAGTGTTACAATTAGTACTTGTGTTGTGGTGTGCAGATAAGCTACATTGTTTTTTGGTCTGTCTATTTGTTTATCTACTTATGTACTATTTGCGTAGAGACCACAATGGGTCAACGTATGAATTTTGAAGACGAGGGTTCTGCACATATTTTCGAAGCATACAAAGGGTGAGTCACAAAACTGATGAATTGATATTTAAGCTTACAAAAACACTGCATTTGCTAAATTAGTTTTGCAAAATCGAAAACGTTATGTTTTTGGCAAATTTAGTACCAGATTAGAGCACACGTGGCGTATGAGTAACTTCTATGGGATTCCTTAAGAAAAAAATTTTTGTTGAAAGTTATTTTTTTACTAAATAGCGGCGGTTGGGTGGTTGGGAGTAAATTTGCTCTATTTTTGGGTTCCGATCGGTTCGTATTTATGTTTTTTAAATTTTAATATTTTAATAGGCTTGTCCGATCTTGCATCCTTTAGTGCAAATAAAACAAAGTTTTTCCATTATTGTTGCCCAACGTTTCGCTAAACTCATTAACATCTTCAGGGGCTGGTTGTTTATTTTCACTGTATCAACAATAAGTACAAAAATTACAAATATTACAAATATGCATTAACGTTGGACAAAAATTACTTAAGGAACATACATGTATGACGTGCATATGAACATAAAAATGGCAAATGAATTATACTATTTTACTACTTACAGAAATTTCTATTTTAACATATTTAATTAAACTTAATTTTAATTCGGTACCATCTATTGTGGTTGTGTTGTCAATACTGGTAATTGCTAAAATTCGTCATAAACATAAAATGTATGCAGCAGCAATGTCATCGGTATCTTCTTTCTTGTTTATTGTTTTTTCTCTTTTTTGCGTTATTCATACCGAATTAAAATTAAGTGGAATAACTTTGTTTTATTTGCACTAAAGGATGCAAGATCGGACAAGCCTATTAAAATATTAAAATTTAAAACACGTAAATTTGCTAGATTTAACGGAAATTGCACACGGAAATGGTTGGGGCGGAAACAAGAGCTTCTTGAATGAAGCATATGGTAATAATTTAACCAAAACGAGCTAATAAAAAGTTAAAGAATAACACTTAGAAAAAGACCAATAAAAGAATGAAAGTAAAGGTGTGAACGTGCATAGATAAAGAAGAGGATAAAGGCAAAGGTAAAAATAAAAACAAAAACAAAGATTCGTAAAGATAAAGGCTGAAATGAAGATCTAGGTAAATTTAAACACTTTACTGATATAAGAGCAAAGCTGAAAAGGAATATGTAGATGAAGAAAATGATAAACAAAGAAGTAAAAGCAAGAAAGATTAAAATAAGGGCAATTATGTATAAAGAAAAACATATAGATAGAGACACAAATACTCAATCTGGGAACTATTTCGTGATTTAGAGATTTTTGCGATTCTCGGAATTTACCGATAAAATAATCGATATTTTTATCGATTTTGTTATCTATATTTTTATCAGTTTTTTATCGATTTTGATATTGATATTTTATCATTCTTGTTATCGATATTTTTATCGATATTATTATCGATTTTGTTATCGATATTGTTCTCGATTTTGATATCGATATTTTCGGAACTTATCGATATAATAGTCGATGTTTTTATCGATTTTGTTATCGATCTTTTTACCGATTTTGCTATGGCTATTTTTATCGAATTTTTTATTGATATTGCTATCGATATTTTTATCTATGTTACTATCGATTTTGTTATCGACATACATGATGTGACATATCACATAACTTTATTACGTCATCGCACCTCACGTCATCTACCCGAGCCTATAGATGAAGAAGAGGATAAAAGCAAAAGTATGAAAGATAAAAACAAAGATGAAGATCGTGCTAAATTTAAAAGCTTTACTTTTATAAGAACAATAGAATATAAAGATAAAAATAAAGATAAAGGACAACAGAATAACATAAATCTAATTAAATACATTTTAAAATAGTGCCTTAAGCACGTATATACGTATGTATATATGTACATTAGAGTGGTCCAAAAAATAAAGTCGGAGTTTTAATGCCGGCACACCCTAGGATTGATCTATATCGAAAAAAATATACCCCTATTTTTTTATTTTGAAATCAAAAAATATTTAGGGAGTGCTCAATGCGCTCAAAGTTTTACATGTATTTTATATGGAGAAAAAACAGTTTTTCTTAGATATGGTATAAAACTCTTGAAAATCAATATTTTTCGACCGGAAAACTGTGGTTCTCTTCAGGAGACTTCCAGTATTATTATCCAATTTTTTATTTAACTATTTTTTATGATTAAAGATTTTTTATTGGTCCCCCATTGCATTTTCTAAGGGCTTTGGAGGAAAAATAAAATATGAAAATATGAAAAAATTGTTAAGAATTATTACTGGGAATCTCCTGAAGATGAGTAAAGTTTTCCGATCGAAAAATATTGATTTTCAAGAATTCTACACTATTACTACGAAAAGTTGTTTTTTCCCCATATAAAATACATGGAAAACTTTGAGCGCTTTGAGAACTACCTAAATTATTTTTTATTTCAAAATAAAAAAATATGAGTATATTTTTTTTTCGGTGTATAACAATCCTAGGGGGTGGCGGCATTAAAAATCCGACCTTATTTTTTTACATACATTTTTGGACCACTTTAATGTACATATATTGGTTATGAGACAAACTAGATACTTACGTAAATTCCACTTCTCCAGTGTGGTCCAGGCGCACTTACTCTTTTTCACATTTTTTTTGGGATGACCCTAATGTGCATATGTACATACATACATATGTGGGAGCAATAATGCATATCGCTTGCTCAAAAATCCATACATCCATGCCCTTTTTTTATAAAACTCTCGTCGTTTTTGAAGGTTACAGATTTTGTTCGAAAATTCAGTTTTCCGAAAAAACCTCTGGAACACTGGTGGCTAGGCGATTCGCTGATTAACCCTAAGTAATTTTTGTATTTTTTTTCCTACTTACTATCAGGAACCAATTCTAAGTTAATCCTCGAAATCATTCACACATCCGTGTCACGAAATGGTCCCGAACTACACCCGAAATTTTCCTGAAAATAGCTCCAAAAATAATCTGAACAAGTCCCGAACTAGTGCCGAACTGGACTCGAACTAGTCTTAAATTATCCAGAAGATCCCAAACTAGCCCCAAAAAGTCCTAAACTAATCCCGAACTAGTGTCGAACTGGACCCGAAATTATCCCAAAAAATTCCTGAACTAGCCCCGAAATTATCCGGAAAAAGTCCCAAACTAACCCCGAAAAGTCATAAACTTAATACCCGAAAGGTCCCGAAACTATTCAGAAAAGGTCGTGACGTAGTCCCGAACTGGTGTCGAACTGGAGGCGAACTAGTGCCAAAAAAGGTTCGAACTAAGCCCAGCAAAGTCCACAACTAGATTCAAACCATCTCCGAAATGGTCCCGAACTAGTCCCCAAATAGTTCCGAAAAAATTCCGAACTATATATTTATACCAGTTCTGAATTCATCCTGGTTTACGCGTGACGCTTTACGCAAATTTTGCCCATACCGGAAACAAAGAATTTTTTTACACACCACCCGAGGAAAACATTTTTCATATTTTTAAAATGTCCACCTTGCTTTTTATCAATATAGTAAAGAAGTAAGAAAATAAATCTCAAACTTTTTAACTGGAAAATTTGCAATTACATTCCACGGTACGAGTAACTGTACTATTCAACTGTCTGCACTGTCGGCTCAATTGTTTCACACAATTCCAACTCATTTGCCAGCAGTGCTTGGTCTTTTCAAAAGTTTCGCTTTTGTCTGCATTAAAATAAACATACATACGTACATCTACACATGTTTTAAATGTCCCTACATATGTATGTATTAAATCGTAATTTTATTTCTTTTTCATCACTGCACTCGCTTACCACACACAACACAAACACACACCCGCATCCAAACATAGCGTCACCGAGGTGTGTGTACGTCGCATGCTGTCGCCTTGGCTTTATCCGGATGTGCTCTATTGCCGTTCACCGTTGTTTGTGCGCCAGCAGCGAGTCGTTCATGTGCTCTTCAGCTTCATTGAAAGTGTAAGTGCATTCACACGTCCATACATACATATGTACATATACAATACCACCAACACACACACTCAAGAGTTTAGTGTCTGCTCAGCAGCCATTAAAGTGATTTTTCCTTTGATGCTTGCGGCTAATTTCTTTTACTTAACTTTTTTACTTCCATTTTCTTTTGCCACCATAGCTGTTGCAGCTCAAAAATAATAAATCTGTAGCAAATGGCATGAAACATCAGGAGCAGGAGCAGCAGCAGCAGCGGCAGCACTCAACTATGAATGGAAATGAAAGTGAAAATAGCTCGGGGACTGTAAATGCAAATGTAAATGGCAGTGTGCATGGAGAAATGAATGGAAAAGTGAAATTGGATGTAGACGTGAATGTGAATGTGGATGGATCGACGGATGTGGATGCGGATGCTTCTGCGGCCATACGGAAGTCGAAAGCTATCTTTGTAGAGCAAGTGCGCTCGCATGTCGAACAAGGTCAGCTGTCGTGGGAGGATGTGCGCGCCGAGGCGAATGTCATTATAGCGGCGGTGAGTAGTTAAGTGCTGCAAACAATGGAATGAACTTTAATTTGGGAAAACCTACATACTTAATATTTTTGTAAGAGACAAAGTTTTGATGACATTGAAAAGGGCCTTTTGTAAGCTCTGCTCTTCATAGTCATAAGAGCTTTAGGGTGAAGCGATTTAATATGTTCTTACTGTTCTTTTGAACTCTTTTTTTTAATAGAATTTAAATCTATTGCCAGTTATAGGGCTCAACTCTAATTGTGGTTGTGGCTAGCGGTGTAGCGTGAATATAATTAAGGGGGAGGCAAATATTTTTTTTTTTTTTTTTAGTTTTTATTCACTCATTTTTATGCTTGAAGCAATTATCTCCCAAACTTTGACGACTCACTACCCGAAATAAAGGCTATGTTTTACGGATAGTTTCCTTGGAAAGTCCGGACCCTCCATAGGGATGGTGCCTCTATCCACCTGCTGGCTTGCTTAGAGAAATACCAGGCTGAACACTACAGTACATCAAATGCAATGGGCGGGGCATGATATTACAGCTGTCCTGTGATCGCGCACAAATTTGGTCTTGGATCTATAGTTGGACGGAAGGAAGGCTTGTGTAGTCTTCATGACAACCCCTACGACAAATTTCCCAGCAGCACAATACTTGTTACCTAATAGTATCCGGTACCAGCATCACACACTTGCTTCAACATACCGACGCAAAAAACGTAGGCTGCATACGAAAATAGAGAGGCCTTATGTGAGAAATCTCTGACCTGTCTGTCTGTTATCTCATTTCCTCTACCAAAAAAAAATTGTGATCCAACGTGCTTAGATCGAAACTTTGCAAAAATTGAAATAATTCCATCTCATCATTCCATCTCATCCAAACAGCCACGACAACCGCAAGAATTCCGATCGGATAATTTCCTGTAACAACACCCACCAGAATTGAGGGCTGAAACTTTATAAGCTCAAGATGATCGATTGACCGTCTAAAGTCTATAGTCCACCATCAGCCAGAAAGACCTTGCGATTGCACATGTCCTAGTTTCAGCCCTACATTCATTGGGCTTAACTGAGTACACCTCTATTCAATGATACCACACTCTTGCCTTTCTCTGTGAGTTCGAATCAATGATACTCTTACAATCCAGCTCGTACGTCATACAGTTTCTTGAAATGTCACTGCGACAGTCACCAAAGTGGAGACGACACTGTAAAAAACCGCCATATTCTGATTTCCGTTGGGCTGTCAGAGCAGATTTTTACCTCCCTAATTTATCTCACACAATTGAGTAGCCGTTCGACTCCTTTCTTTATGGCAGTTATTCGTATTATTAGAGTTGAAGCCGATTATGCTGGGAAACTTTTATGCCTCTAAACCAAACCGTAGCACTTCTCTGCAGCGAACTTATCTACGATGTCCGCAGGTGCTATTATAGATAAGGTGCCAAATTACAGACCGGGATGGGTCCGAGAGTTCACCACTGATTCCTATAACAGCGGTGCATTGCACCCGCTTCAACATTTTAATTAGCGTATTCCAGCAAACGAGGACTCCACACAACATAAATCTAGGAAACACCTTTTAGATAAAGTCCCCTTCTTAAGCAATTACCACCCAGTGACAGTGGAGAGCCGCTGATAATTTTTTTTTTGTCTTTTCTCAATGCTGGGCCTCCACGACAGTTTTCTTTCTTGAATCAAACCCAAGTACTTGGCTCCGTCAAAAAGTGCTAGATGAACGCATCCATGTGAGGGAAGGATCGCACCGAGTAGCTTATACTTTCTAGTGAACAGTACAAGTTTCCATCTTATTAGGACTCACGGTGAATCCCCTGTTCAAAAATACTTATATCCTATCAAATGAATCTTTCCTTTTCTAAAAGTGCTATGTGATCTGCGTAGACTAGCACCCTTCCGCCATGCTTTCTAGCTCATTCAGCACATCGTTTACGACCATAAGTAGTGAGAAGACACCACCTTGTGTTGTAGCTCTACTCACCCATTGCCGAATGCAGGCGCTATGACACTATCACCGACTGTTTTTACACAAAGCATTTTGTGGGTAAACCTGATAGAGAATATCATCAATTTCAAGCTTTTCAAGGGAGAAAGTTGAAGAAAAGGGTTTCCTCAATCCACCTGACGGCTGCAAGCAGGGTGGCCTCCACTGATCTTCGCTTAATGTAAGCATGTTCAGCTTCGTCCATGCAAAACAAATAGCCTCTTCAGAAGGACTAACTGATTGGCATTGGGCGAGATGTGAGAGATTTCGCCGGAGTTTGGTGTAAATGTCACTCGGACCACACTCAAAGCCCTAGAAGCATACCTGTGCACCATCCAGCTAGTGTGGCTGGGAGCCAGCCAACCGCACTTTACCTCCAAAACTTTCTGTAGCTGTGCAGATAAAATGCATACCGGTTGGCGGAAAAGGTCCAAAGGTTTATCCTAAGTTTCCTTGGTATCGATGAGATGTACAAGCTAACCAGCCTCGGCTCTCCAAACTCTCGAGGAAGCGGGATTCTTCCCTAGAACACATCTGAAACTCAATTATTGATGGTAGCCTCCCACGTTTTCGTAGAAAGCTCTCCATGATTCCCTCTTAACTTTCATAATAGGTAAGTTTCATAGCCTTACTATTTAGTCAAAGCGTATCTTGCTCCTTCCATCCTATTAAGGCATCGTCTGCTTGATGTGCTAAATTTACAGGGTGCTCTGCTGTTCCCCAGAGGTATTTCCGTCCGCCTTTATTAAATATAATCCGACAAGTGTTATGAAAAACGCCTTTGCCCGCAGTACTGAAAACTTCACCAGGTTCATTTAGCGATCTCTCGGAGAAAGCCAGGTTCACTTCGGATGCGAAAGGGAAAACTGAATAAAAAAATCCTGCAGTAGAGATCCAAGTTCGTACTCCGCTGGTTCCTGAAAAGTGATTCGTCTAAAGTAAAACTTATATACCTACTATGATCCGCAATGCAAAGAGCGTTAAGTACCCTCTAGTTCCGAATATTAGGTACTGGTACAGATTAGGCTAGCACCAGATCGAGGGCCTTCGCACTGGCAAAACATCTAAGTTCCGTTCTTCTTATAAATAAAATTTCTTCAAAGCAAAATAACTATTTTCCTTTTTGCAGACCTTTGAGACCACCTCGACTGCCTTGTATATCGTATGCCTCTGCCTCGCCATGCACCCTGAATACCAGGAGAAGCTTTACGAAGAACTAGCAGCGCTTTTTCCAGAAGACCAAACGTCTGAAGTCAACCATATGCATTTAGAAAAGATGCCCTACACCGAAATGGTCATCAACGAAGCACTGCGACTCTACTCACCCGTTCCAATGGTATTGCGTAGTGCTGCCGATGATTTTTACCTACGTAATGGTGTTTTAATACCGCGTGGCACACAAATTGGCATCGACATTTACAATATGCAACGCGATGAATGCATTTGGGGAGCAGATGCAAAGAACTACAAACCAGAGTTGCATTTCGGTGCGCAAGCAAGGAATCGCCATGCATTCGCTTTTATACCCTTCACAAAAGGATTGCGCATGTGCATTGGCAATCGGTATGCATTGATGCTGATGAAAGTGTTCGTGGCGAAGATATTTCGACAGTATCGTATAAAAACTACAGCAACACTGGATCAGTTGGTCGTCAAGGGCACTATATCGCTAAAATTGGCCGAGTATCCGTTGTGTCAGCTGGAGGCGCGAATGCGCGTTGAATGAACTAAGAAATTAATTAGTAATCGTAGGGTGGAGTAAGGGTACTTTTTAGAAATTAAAAATATGTTTTGTTTTTTGTATTTTTAAATTTTATTACTTTATTTTAATCAAAATTGGTAAAATTGTTGTTATCCGTTAGCGGCTTATCTTTTTGTTTTTGTTGTTGTTTTTTTTTTCAGTAGTCACAAGCTGCTTTTTCTTACTTCTACTCACACATTTGCGCTTAGCGTTTACTTTTTCACATTACTTTACTTACTTTTCAAGTGTAATTGTTTTCATTTGTTTGTTGTGTGTTTTTTATCGGATTTATTTTACAACAGTAAGGGGCCAGTGTAGTGTAATTTTCTGAGTGCACAGTTTTTAATGCGTATTTTTAGATTTTCGGTTAAATTTGTTTGGTTGGTATTCTTACTTTTAATTTCAAAATGTTTGCATTAAGTTCTCCGATTTCGATTTTTCTTAAATTTCGCTAAGCTGAAAGATTTAACGCTTTATCAATTTTTTCTTTTTAATATTAAGTCTATAAGTAAGATGTATTGTATGTGTGCATATAGTGTACACATTATTTTAGCGTAATTTTTTTCAATGAATTTAAGCTTATTTGAAAATAAAAAGTGTTTTTTTTTTCTAAAGTTTAAAGAATTTCAGTTTTGTGTTTAAATTTTTTCTGTTTGCAAAAATGCATCATTTAATTCATGGAGGCCAATTTTCATTCAATTCGAGTTTGTTGTATCAATTGTACGATGCTTTAAGGATAAAATTTTTATAACTTATTTTTCAAGTAAGAGAGTTCAAAAATGTCTCCTCCCATTCAGTGGCTACTACATATGTATAACATTCGCCATTTGTATTTACATTAGACCGTACCACCTTACAAGCAAGCAAAAAAAGGTTTACCGTACTCCCCTGAGTCTTAAGTATTTTTGCAAGGCAATTTAAAAAAAAATCAAATATTGTTGTTGGTCGATCCTAGAGAGTTCGCTTTTTTACATTTTTCGGTGACTCCAACATTAGACAAAAATATATTTTTTAAGTAGTTCTACTGGAATAATCAAAATACTATCTTGGTAAAAGTTTAGTAATTTTTGGAGAGCTTTAATTTGGAGACATTAGGACAGTACGTTAATGTGATAAGAAGGGGGTACTTTAGGTCAGTGAACTTTGAAACAGAAACAATTGCCTACTCGAAACAAGAATAACGAGATAGTATACTTTAAGTTGCGACTGTAAATACCGAATATGTGACGAACAATATAAAAAGGCTGTATCTACTTTGGGCAAACAAAAAAAAATCGAAATTGCCTTGCCAAAACACTTTAGACGCAGGGGTGTACGGCGATTTTTTTTTTCTGGTACAGCCTAATGTACATGTTATTTAAATAACGGTAAGTATTTAACAAGCAGTGGCAAGGAAAGCTAGATGGTAAAGTTGTTGATCTTTTACTGAAGGAATTGCTGTACACTGTTCAGCACTCGTTCTATTCTAATTTCCAATTTCTTCGCCATTAAACTGGAGTTAAAGTCGAGAAGAATCAGACCGTTCCGTCGGTCATCGATCCTATGTACATATGTATATACGATCGGTACCAGTGCTGCTAAAGATTAGGTAAGGTTACGAATCGCCAATAGAGGACGCGCTTAGAGACAATCTCCTTTATGATACCATAAACATTTTTAAACGTTCATCATTACCTACTTATTTAATTGATGAAACACCGCGAATCGATAAATAACTAAAGCTTCTTAGAGTAAGTTAAAAAATGCGAGCCACAATATGACAACCTTAGCTTGGCCAAAGCTGGGCAGCCATATAGAATGTGATGAGGTGACTCCATTCCAATATCGCTCTATCACCTGCGGCAGGCAAGATCAAGTAAAATTCCTAGCCTTAAGGCGTGAACTCCAATCGGAAATGACCAACAACAGCGAGAGCTGTGACTTTGCAAGCGAAAGCAGCTCTCTCGACCTCCCCGAATGCACGTAGCATCTTGCAATTTCGCATGTTCTATTCTTCTTTCAAAGAACGCTCAGCTGACATGAGGACCGTCTGTACAAGAGTGTACCACCCCGCAGGAGGTCAGAGGTGACCCAACTGCTCTCTATCCAGTGACTACTTTCAACAGTACCTTCCGATGCCAAGGCGTCAGCAGTCGAAGGAAGCGAGTAATCTTTATGCCGAAGATTGGCAGAAGAGACTAATCGCCAGCGAAATCTCTAAAATCAATGGAGAAGAATATAGATAGCACCAACAAAACGAATACTTTGAAGGATACATATAGGGGAGGGAGGTCCATGGACACTACCCTATATGTACCACCTAACGTATGATATTTTGAGTGCCTCCGTATGTAAATAAATAGTGCTTTATGCTTTCCTCGATATAGAAGGAGTCCTTGACAGTACATATGTATGTCACCACTGGATCGTTGAAACCGAAATATGCAAAAACATGATTCAATTTAAAAGAAACAAGTAAGAGCAGCGCTGTCTTCGGCTATGCCGAAGGCTTCATACCTTTCATGAACATCTACAAATTTTACTTTGACAGATTACTGCTTTTGAATACATCTGCATACATCGATAGAGGAGTTCCATACCTATATAAAAAATCGCATCTGAACAATCAGAGGTATTGAAGATATACCTTATATTAGCACCAATCTAAGTGATTTTCACTGCTATGTGATCGGTATGTAAACCGGTAACACAATTTATTGGGTTTAGTTTCCTACATAAAGAAGATATATCGCAAAAACTGGTATCTGAACAATCAGTGCTATAGGAGATAAAGCTTATACAGCATAGATTTTGACGATTTTCACAGTAGACTTTGTATTATTATTTATAAAATATCTTACGAAATTTATCGCTTTTAGCTATTCAAATAAAGAAGTTTTACAGTAAAATCCCATATCTGAACAATCAGATGTATGGAAGATATATGTTGTAGTCATCCGATCCTTGTTATTTTCACTGTAAGTATTCTGTTAATAATGAGTGAAAATGGTGCGAAATTTCATGTTCGTAGCTGCATAAATGGAGGAGTTATGATAAAAGACCTCATATCTGAACAATCAGTTGTATGGGGGCTGCAGGTTATAGTGACCCGATCTTTATTATTTTCGAGGTAAGTCTTCTGTTGATAATGAGTGAAAACAGCGCGAAATTTCATGGTCCTAGCTACATAAATGGATGAATTATAACGAAAAATCTCATATCTGAACAATCAGTTGTATGGGAGCTATAGGTTATAGTTACCCGATCTTTTTAATTTTCGCGGTAAGTTTTCTGTAGATAATTATTGAAAACAGTGCGGAATTTCATGTTCCTAGCTATATAAATGGAGGAGTTATAACGCAAAATTTTATATCTGAACAATCCGTTGTATGGGAGCTATAGGTTATAGTGACCCGATCTTTGTAATTTTCACTATAAGTATTCTGTTGATAATGGGTGCAAGTAATGCAAAATTTCATGTTCGTAGCTGCATAAATGGCGAAGTTATAATGAAAAATCTTATATCTGAACAATCAGTTGTATGGGAGCTATATGTTATAGTGGTCCGATTCTTCCGGTTCCGACAAATGATTAATACATTATAAAAATACACCCACCTACCAAATTTCATCCGGATACCTCGAAAACTGAGAGACTAGATTGCATACAAACAGACAGACAGACGGACAGACGGACAGACGGACAGACGGACAGACGGACATGGCTAAATCAACTCAGCTCGACGTTCTGATCATATAAGTATACATTTTCATGGGTCTATCTCTTTTTGTTCTGGTACTTACAAACATCGGACCAAAGTTATAATACCATTTCATGCTCATGAAAGGTATAAAAAGTGGTGCCCGCAGTGGGGTTATTTCCTCCCTTCCAAGGACGATCTTCTCCAGCTACTCTCAGAAAAAGGAATCCGCTGCAGAGGCTATGCGGATGACATAATAATATTGGCTAGATAGATATCCACCTAACGAAAGGATGGTTCGCTCGAAAGAGGCTTTACATTAACCCAACCAACCTAGACGTGATTTAAAGGAGGAAAGGTCATTCAAGAATATGGAGAAATTTGGCCCTCAGCTCGCGCTAGCCCTACTCCTCAGAGGTGATTAACTTTCCAGCAACAATAGTATCACAGAAAAGTTTCAGCATTGAAATGTGTAGTCAAGGGACATGCAGAGACTCCATTTTGGAAATGCGTATGCAATTAAGGACACTGGACAGGTACACTGTCGGCACATAAACTCCCGAGGATGCAGGAGCAGTCGCCTCTGGCTCAAGGGCCTTACATCGGTGACGAAAATGAGATGGTTAAATAAAAAACAAGTATGCCTAAAGGTGTGCAATATTACGCTAGGTCGAAGACCATTGTGTAGCGAACAAGGCCAACGCGAAAGCTTGTGACGGATGTTCGACGTAGAGCCGTGATATCCCGCCGAATTATCTTTATCTTCAGTCGTTCCTTCTTCTCGTTAACTGGTGGCAATCAAAAACACCTGCAAATCTACAGCAAAAGCTTGCTTCCGAACGCTCCAAGGGCCGCTTCATCAGCTGACGTCATGGTCCACACGATTCTACGCCATACAACAGGACGGGAATGAGGGATACTTATAGAGTATAGATTTTTCGTTGGTCGAGAATGGACTTTATTACTTAATTGCCTAGTCAGTTCAAAGTAGAACTTGTTGTCAACAACGATGCAGATCTTATTATCTTCTCCAACATAAGATTAAAGAATGGGAGTCGCCCTGTCTGAAACCCCATTTGCATTCCCAATTATAACGGAGCGGGTGGTATGGCCCAACGTTATTTTACACAGCCATATCAGTTCTGCGGGCATATCAAATTCAGACATAGCGACGTTAAATCAGCTAATTTTCGTTCTGCCGAATGCGGCTTTAAATAGATGAAGTGCGCCGATTTTCCTTCCGCATGTGTACTCTAAGATTTTGTGAATATCTAGCATAAGGTGGATTTTCAAAAAAGCCACAGTGATAAGGCCCAATCAGTTTGCTGTCGGTAGGTTTCAGTATTTCACGCATGTGGCATTGTCACTTTCTTGTGGACTGAGCAGAGCAGACTTAGATAACGGAACACCGATTCCGTCATCATCGATTGGTGCAGGCAATATCTTCGTTATTCACGCAATTGTTACCTCGGCCTTCGAACGTTTTGTCCTGTCACTCACGGGTTTCAGACTCGTTCTTCTTATTTTCAACTATACGTCTCTCTTTTTTATTTTTTCAATTCCCGATAAGGATCTCGTATGTCTTGCGTTACGCCTGATCGCAGGCTTGACATTCCTTGTTGTACCAATTGTTTCTGTGGGCTCGCTGAAATCCGATAACTTCCTCAGCTTCTCTACGTACTTGTAGGAAACAAAAAATATGATTTCAAGCAAATGCCTGCAGCGGTGGCCCATGCGGTAGCAACCTAACAGAAACCGGATTTTCAGCATTGTATTGTGCTTATTGATGCTCAGGCAAAATTATAAGGCATCCTCCGACGTTCTGACAAGTATAGATATTTATGAACTGCATTGATTTTTGCATCGCTGTGGAGGCCTCCCTCTTCCTCAGCGGGCTCCGAGTCGAATACTTTCAAAGCTGAAGCGTCGATGTCCATTCGAACGACATGGCCAAGCCAGCGGAGCCGCTGTATTTTAATTCGTCGTTGTAAAGCTCATACCGCTCATCTTTCCATCGTCTGTAGTACTCGCCGTCACCAACGCGTAAGGGCCTGTAAATCTTCCGCAAAATCTTTTTCTCAAATACTTCAAGAGTCGCATCATCGGATGTTGTCATGTCCATACTGTCGCAGCATAATTTGCAATCAGCCTGCCACTTCCGTGCGCGAAAGTGAGAAAGCTGTCAAATTTTTAGGGGTTCTAGTGTCGTCGGCCCATATGCTTCTATTTACATTGAAATAGTCATTCTGATAATAAAAACCAAAGCGACCTGGAACAGCTATATGTATTATGAAGTGACACATACAGGTGAGCACCATGCAGTGATGCACCGACGGCTCCAACACCTGAGAAGGCCTTGGTCTACCGCATTTATACTACCAAGATGAGGCTATCCGAGCCCATGGGTAAATTCCCGAACGCCTTCCAAGCGGAATTATACGCCGTCAATCGGTGTGGAGAGATTAACTAACGTAGAGATTACCGGAATGAGAATCAGAAGCCTAATACACTACCATTCTTCAAGATCAACTCTTCCTTGCGAACCTCAGTGCACTCGCTAAATCTAACTACTGTGGGTACCAGGTCACAAGGGAATACAGGGGAATGAGACAGCGGCGGCTTTGCTAGAATAGCGGCAGCTTCTGTTCCAAAAGTCCCGAGCCATTTCTTTGCAATAGAAACAAACTTCTAACTAATCTACCCATACAAAAAATTTTAGTCATTACAGGCATCCTCACTTCCTACTGCAGATCCAGCGGACACCTGCATAAATTGGGAATCTGGTCGAATATTATTTGTCCTTTCTGGGATTGAACTGAAGACACCATTTCACCTGAGCCTTGAATGTGATACCGTGGCGAGATGACAAATGATCAGCATAGGCTCAATCTGGGCCAGGGCGAGAGCAAATAAACTTCTTACCTCCAAAAATTCTGAACTACATTTAAGGCTGTAAAAACAATTTTACACTCGGAGCTAGAACCGAATAGCCCGGCGGCGATCAAGGCACTTGGCTCGGTATGTATCACCTCCAGCATAATAAAACATTGCATGGAGTAAGAAACGGGTCGGTTTTTGCATATCTCATCTCAGCACTGGAAAAATGTGGCTAAAAGTAGGCGGAAGAACCTAAAATCTTGCAGGATCTGTAGAAGTCTGTGGCACACCTTCACCGAAAAACGCTCTGCATTTTTCATCAAACTGAACTGGGTGGATTTGTCTCGTCTAACTGCCGTTTTCACAGCGCACTTCTTGTCGCAGCTGTAACTTACTAGGTGTAAAAGCACTCTGTGTGACTGGAGGAAGGGGTGTGCTCGAGTTTGTGGTCCGGACCGCAACTGGATGCCTTCTGATGTCGCCACAGCACCACCTTCCCGACGGGATTCCAATGCTCTTAGTAGGGTGTCAAAGACGTGGTCACTCGAACAGGCACCTGCTTGTAGCAGAGCCCCCGCTTAGGCACGTCAGAAGGCAACTATACGAACTGACGGACTAAGCCATAAACGGCATTCACAGGGAGTCAGTTTCAATTTTCTAGCACTTGAGCTTTGATGGACTTGGGCGAGCCTATCTGATCAATAGATTGTTTTTAGAGCAAATGAACCATATTTTTGCTATTACCAATCAAAATTCTAAAAAAGTGAATTTTAGGCCCACGCTAATGTACATAAGGTTTGAGATCAATGGAATTTTTTATGTACATACATATGTACAACTAATGGTAGAATTGATTTTCCTCTTCGATGAAAAATAAAATATGTATGTGTATTTTCAATCTTTAATTTAGCATTATAAAAGCTGTGTGTATTAAATTTGTATGTATGTATGTATTTTTATTACTTATTTACGTGGACATCAGTGTTGTTTTTATGTTATCAATATCTGAGTTATCGTGTTATTAAGTTTTCTTTTTCTGTTTTTTTTTTGTTTGTTTTTAGGTTTTCAAATCGGTAAGTTTTTACTGTGTATTAGCGTCATTTTAGAGCTGGGAATTGTTTTTTATTTATTTTTTTTTTTTTCATAAAGAAAAGAAGCATAGTTTTAGGCTCATACACACCGTTAGCTATTCTTAAAAAGCTTATTTTCTTTTTATTTTATATAAATTTAATTAAAAATTTTTCTTTTCATGTATGAATTTATATGTAATAAAGCTTTGTATGCATTTACATACGTACGTACGACTGCTTGACACTGCTCATTTTTGCTTTTAGTAAAATTTATGATCGTGTAAAAATATGCAAATATTCGGTTTAGCAAAGTAAATCTAGCTCTTCATTTATTTGTTAGTATGTTTCTGAATTTATTTTTTTTCATATATATTTTTATGTTACATCTTCTAGGCATTTCAAAAAGTGTGTGGACGCTGATTGCATCGTGGCATTTTTTTCTAGGCTAAAATAGCTCGTTTGTTTATGCCTATGTGTTGACATACATATGTAAGTATTTATTTGTACATTTTCATGTACGACGGTGAGTTGGTGTGACGGTAACGGTGCAAGTGACGGTGCATTTTTATTTTTTTAGTTATTTTAAACCTCACTTAATAGTCGCTTTGAATATTTTTGGAAAATTTTTTTGTGTGCAGATTTGAGAATATAAATTAAAAATTAGGGCAGCACCTGAATATTGTTTTATTTTTATTTTATTTTTTAACACTTAATTCGTTTGGGTATAATACACTGCAATGCAAAAAAAAAAAAACAAACAAATCAGAATCTATTTCCTCTTACTTTCCCAGACTTATCATAAATGGTTGTGTTTTATTTTTTTTATTTTTGTTTTGCAGTTTGAGGACAATTAATTGTAGGCACAATAAACGGTCAATATTTAACTCTAACGATTCCACACAATTCACAGATTTGTCTTTTTTTATTTATTACTATACTTTTACTTATAAATATTGCGTATATCAGTGGTGTTATGCGTTTTTGTTGTCCTGTTTGTTTGTTGTTGCTGTTGTTGTTTTATACATACATACATGCTATCTAACTCTTAATTCAAACGCCAAACTACACATGAGTTTTAGATACGACCAAAAGCGATGCACGCGGAATATGAAAAGTAGAAAAAAAAAGAAAAAATTTAAAGAAATTAAAGAAATGTAATACGATGTTAGGAAAGTTATAGAAAATAAAACAAGATTTTAAAAGGGTTAAAACAAGTAAAAGAAAAAATACTTTCATGTCGAATTTCCGCTAGGTGTTAAATTACACAAATTTTAAAAACCAGGTTTGGCTTTAAAAATACCTGTGCCGTTACGTTCACAAAAGTTGTCACTAAATTCGTCTTCAGATAGCATTTTTAAATGGCACAGATTTTTCGTTATTTCAATGCATAGTGGAAATTCGGCATTCGACATGAAAATAAAAAGAAACAAAGCTAAAAATAGCAAAACATTCTTCAATTTTCTATGTACTACAATTACCCAAAATGCTGATGGTTTCTTAAATATTCTCATATTTAGTGATAAATATAACTTGATATTTAAATGCATAAATATTAATGGCGCTACTGAATAACTTTATTAATACACTCATGCTTTGTATTTTTTCTGCTACTAAATCTCAAATATATTATACCCACTTTAGACGTTTCGATAAAAAACTAATTGCCTCTAACACCCAAACAAAAAAATTGCACACCTAATTTTCTACGAATTTTTTTTTTTTTAATGTTTTATTTTATTATTCTTTTTATTTTGCACGTGTTCTATCTTTTGGATATGCTACGGAAATTACATGTTGTCTCTGTATTTTCTAAAATGGTTAAACTTTTTATTTACGTTTGCATGTGTATATTATTTATCAATTTATTGGAATTTAGCTAACATTTACTGCTAGAATTTGTGAAAAAGTGGGATGTGCTGAGCTGACATTTAATTTAGCTTGCTTGTATGTGTGTACATATGTACAATATGTATACAATCATATGGCTGGTTGGCTTACTATTTTATTGCTACTCTCGCTTGCATGCTCGTGGGACGCTTATAAAATACAGTTTCTTAAATATATATATGTATATGCATTAAAAAAATAACGCGCGGTTATTGCTTATGATTGGACATTTCACATTGGCTTAATTTAAATTATGTAATATTCACCATCTATTATATAGGTTATTTGTTTAATTTGCTGTTGCGTAATTGCATAATTATCAGTTTTCTCAATACTTTAAACAATATCAGTAATATGCTTAAATAATATTGTTACATACATATGTATACATGTATTTATTCTTTCACTTTTGTGTACGTATGCATATTGTTAAATGTATTATAGCCAAATTGCTAACCAACTTATTTTAAATACTCATGCTTATGTGCATGTGCGGTTATTCTAAAATGCTTCTCTTTTTTTCGCTTTATACTGTATGTATGTATTTGTTTAAACATTTACAATTACATATACGGGTACTTAAAATGCAACTTTATCATGTTTGCAATTTTTCTTGCAAATTTTTATGCTATTTTTCTTTAATTTACTCTGGTGTTGTTCTCTTTTTTGTATTATATGTGGTTGTGTGTGTTTTTTTTTCAAATCGAAGGCGCAAATTAGATTGACTGTAGCTAAGTCAAAGCAATAATGGACTACATTTAAAATATAGTGACTATACACAGCAGACGCATGAAATAACAATAATGGAAAAATGCTAATTTCAACTTAATTTTATACAAAAATAAACTTTTCACTTTAACTAAAAAATAAACGCTTACTTACGTTTCTCTAAGCAACAACAGATTTATGACTAACATTTATGCAAAGCGTTATTGTATCGTCTTATATTTTACTTTCAACTAATACGTTTTTATAATTTTTTTATTTTAGTTTTTTAGCCTTTTGATATTTTATTTTATATATTTTTTTGATATTTATTTATACATATTTCCTTTAGCAACAACTCAGCAGCGCTGCTGATCTGAGCTGCTGTAACAACAATCACTCACACATTTTGCTTACGATTCTGCTACTACGCTACTTGCCTACCAACATTTTAGTTCTAATACGACTTCCCACTAATACACAATCGCTAAATGGCATTTTTATATGTTCAAGCAAGCTTAACTTTCCGCCGGCTGATTTGTTGTAAACTCAGTTATGCCATCCTTTACCATATTCTCCAAAATATCAGTCACGTAAGCAGCTACATCAGTGTGGCTACGTTGGCCGCGTAATATGAAAGGCATTTCCAGCAACGGACCGTATTTGGGTCTTTCGCTCTCATTTTTGTTTAAACTATTGGAAGTTAAGGTATTAAATGAATAAAATGATAATGAAAAAAGTATATAAAATGATAGAAACAAAGTTTGAATTCGATTATATCGAGTTCCTGAATATTCTTTCTATTTACTTACCAGGTATTCACAAAATCTACAAATTCCTGTGAAAACTCCATTCCCTTATACGACGTTTGTAAACGGGGAGGATCACCCTTCACCACCTGCAAGAAATTATGGGTTCTAATGCATTAGAATTCTTAGAAAATCGACAGTTGAATTGATATCTATGTATATCATTTATGCATGTCTTAAAACTTAAATATAACAAGTAAGAAAGTCTAAGTTCGGGCGGAGCCGAACATTAAATACCCGGCGCAAGTATTAAATATATGTTTTTCACCCTTCCGAAAGCTACCGCTACATGGTAAGCCGGGGTGTATCAATTTTGAGTAAATTAGCGTCCTTAAATTTCAAAATATTGACGTTTCAAGCATTTCTAAAATTTACCGTTATATGTAAAGCCATAATTTTAGTCCGATTTCAATCATTTTCATAGTTTTGCTTTTATGTAGCAAGCACAATAAAAATACCGAGTTTGGTACAAATTAGTAGAACGGTTACCGAGATACATATATGTGATCATAAGTGGGCGGTGCCACGCCCATTTTTAAACATTTTATTATAGACGTATTTCCTGGTAAGGAATTGTTGCAAGCATCAATTTTCAATAAATTGGCTTTAATATTTACTGATTTATCGAAGATTGCGTATTTCTCCAAATTACCGTTATATGAGATGTGGGCGTGGTTATTGTCCGATTTTAAAAATTTTCGACCATTTGGTATCCTGTACCAAGGTCAATAACTGTGCCAAGTTTGGAAGAAATCTGTGCAGCGGTTGCCAAGATATACACATGTAACCATAAGTGGGCGTGGCTACGCCCATTTTTCAAAAATTTATAACATTCTTATTTTTCGTCCAAAAATTATTGTAAATATCCATTTTGAGTTAATAATCTTCAGTAGTTACTAAAATATCGCAGTTTTCGTATTTCTGAAAATTACCATTATATGGGAGGTAGGCGTGGTTATTGTCCGATTTTGCCCATTTTCAATACCATCCGTCCTACTCCCGAAAGAAGTACACGTACCAAGTTTCGTTAAGATATCTCAATTTTTACTCGAGTTATCGTGTGCACAGACGGACGGACGGACGGACGGACGGACAGACAGTCACCGCTTAATCGATTTCTCCTGATCATTTATGTATACATTTGTCTATATCTATCTCGATTCGTTTTGCCTGTTACAAACAACCGTTATGTGAACAAAGTTATAATACCCTTGTGCACAAGTGCGCTCGGGTATAAAAACAAATTGCTGTGAATTTGATTTTATCTTGTTCAACTTGTAAAGCAGTGATTTTATGCGCTCATTCACGCGAAATCATTGAACTTGAACGAAAGAGATTCGTCGGAACAAGGACCGTCACTCCATCAGCTGAATGATTACAGCTACAATTTGAGTGGATAGTCTTGGATTTCTTGGCAGTTCACCCAAAAATTACCAATTGCAAATTCAACACTATCCACACTTACTTGATACAACTGCTCGAAGACCGAATCCCATTTAGGATATGGAAACACTCCGGTAGCAACTTCCATCAACGTTATGCCAAGCGACCATACATCACTACGCACATCATAACCCTTAGCGCGCTCTGGGTCTATGCGTTCCGGCTGGAAAATAATTTAGCAATTAATAAATTTTAAAATAGTTTTGCACAACACAGCTACAGTAATAACTTAATAACTCACCGCCATGTACGGCCGGCAACCTGCATCTTTAGTCTCCGCAATTGAGTCTACCAACTTGCCACAAATGCCGAAATCACACAACTTAATATCGCCACGACGATGCAACAAAATATTACTAGGTTTTACATCCCGATGTATAATCGATAATTCCTCTTTAAGATAATTTAATGCTTGCACCGTAGCTACTGTAATTTTTGCAAGTATCGACTCGGGTATACGTTGCTGTTTACGCTCATAAATGTATTTATAAAATTTGTCCAGCGAGGTATCCATTAATTCCATGCAAATCCAGCAGTCGCCTTCTTTGAATAGCGCTCCATAGAACTGCACTATATAGGGGCAGGCGTTCGAGTTCATCACCACTTCCAAATCCATAAGTAATTGCTTCTGTTCCTTTTCATCGACTGTGGAGCGTATACGTTTCACTGCCATTACCTTGCCTACTTTGAATATCATCTTGTTGACAGTGCCAAAAGCACCCCGACCAATTTCACCTATATCGGTTAAATCATCTGATGTAAAATGATAGCATTCTTCATCTATGAGCAACTTTCCGCATGCTTGTTGTTTTATACGCTCACGGGTACGTTCTATTTGTGAGAGAAATAATCAAAGCAGTTTAAAATAAATTTACAACTAAGCACTTTACTGGTCAAATAAATGTGCCTTAAATCATTCTAACCGGCAAACAAAATGTTAACATATTTACCCTGATTATTGGTTGTTGTTGGGGCTGGCACTGCTACTGCTACTGGTGCTGGCGGTGGCGGCGGGCAGAAACGTTGCACTAAATTGTGTGAAGAGGAACTGGAGGCAGACGACGTAGATAAATTTGACGAAGCTGAACCAGATGAAGTTGATGAAAATGAAGGTGGTTGGCGTCCATTGAAGCTACCCAAATTCAATTCACTTGGCGGATTGCGAGGACGGCTGCTGCCAGCTTTTAACATGAATTAGAAAAAATTTTTAAACTATTGTGTGTACGTAACATGTATAATTCAACTTACCCGAAAATAGATTATTTGGACGTTCGGCCATTTGGTTTATTGCAATAGTAGAAAGTTACAATATATGTAGCGCCTCCTCAGGGAGTGTGCTACCTCAACACCTATTACCAAGGGATTTATAGTAGTATTTTGCAGGTATATTTTCCACACACTGCACGTCGACAGCTGGAGTCTACGTGAGATAATACACACTTTTTAACGCAAATTTAACACCGTAATAATTCAGCACCTTGTCGCAAGTGCAGGTACAAGTGTGATCCTTTTCGATTTTTCCACAAACAGCAAATTGCAAAGGAACAACAAAATACAACTACAACTTTAGCAGGGAGAATTACTGTGTGTCATGCAGGTGTCACTCTCGGCCACGGCACAATTTCTGTCTTCAGTGTCTCATTTGTTAAATTCTAAAGCTGTTCAATTGAACTTCCATAATTTGCGCTAATTGTGCGCAGTGTTTTAACAATATAATGAAGTACAAAATATTAAATTTACTCTTTAATATCCTCCTCAAAAAACAGTGGCTATAAAATTGAGTTATGAATCCACAAAAAATTACTGAAAAGAAAATGTCAAAAAATGCAGTGTTGTATTTTATTGTCACGAAAAATGGGTGGCTAAATTAATTTGTGCATTATTAGGGCAATGCCGTCAAGGCGAATTTATACAAGATGGTGTTACCGCTGAATTTCTAATCCCACGACAGCGGGTTCTACGTACCGGAATGTCTCGGCTTTTAACAGACCAAGGGCTGTTGTTGTTCGTCCATATGGCTACATTTGATACATATTCTTCTGCTCAGGGTTGGCATCGAGTCAAACCCAGAGCCAGAAACCTACTCCTGCTATGTATGCCAGAGACGACTACACCACAACTCCACCTCAGTCAAGTGTCAACGGGTGGAGTCACCTCAGAGTCTGCTAAGGCCTACGGACTCATCGGCAGTAGACCACACCACTTGTGGCCGCCTGCTGCTCAAACAGAGCAGTATTCGCGGCTAACCCCAGTCCACCTGAGCAGCTCGACACAAACAGCACAACACCACAACCTCTTGCACCTCGCGAGATGGGACGAGGGACTTCGAAAGCCCGTGTTGCGCCGCGCGGTCGCAAACCTCAATTGCGACGCCACCCACTACCACCATAGGGTGGCACCCTACACAGCAGCGCACACAGCCAATGGCGGCAAGGTCGCACACATCCCTCACACCCCGCATAACAACACGTCTCCCGAACCACATGAAGCTTTTTCAATTCAACTGTAACAGACTTCAGAGCAAGATCAAGGAGATAACCGTCTTCATGACAAGGCATGGTATATTGATAGTTGCGGTCGAAGAGGCGAAGTTTCACAGTAATTCAACATTGTTGAATTGCTCCCGATCCAACGTGCACCGTCGAGATCGTGAGCGAGATAATGGTGGTGGCTTACCGTTCATCACGCACGATACCGTGCAGTATCGTCTTGTCGAAGCAGAAATCGACCACAGGAATACCACCCTAGAATATCAGGGCATTGCTTTCCGATCAGAAGTTGTCGAGCTCGAAATATTTAACGTTTATATACCCCCTGTTACTAGCTGCCCGGCAGGATATCATCCTGATATAGGTGCGCTCGTCGGAGGTGAAAATCGTATGGTAGTTGGTGACTTCAATACGCACGGTCTTTGGAATTGAAGCCTGTCAAAAGATCGTAGGGGAACAGACTTGGCTGAGTAGATAGACGATTCGACATTCTGCACAATGAACGACGACGTACCCACCAGAATTATGGGCAGCTGCTGCAGCGCTGGTCTGATAAACAGCGTATCATGGCGACCTATGCTGACCTTGGCATCGACCATCTGCCCACAGTCATCTCGATCGATAAACCAACCGACTTTGCTTCCGCGGAACACCGGACCTATATCAACTTTTCTAAAGCTGATTGGAAAGGCATTGCGGAATTTACTGAGAGCACCTTCGCTGCGCTCCCCACACCAAACCGACGTCCACCTTGGTGAACGTAAGTTCCGCAGGGTTACTGCTGCTGCTGCAGGATGCATTACGGAACCCCGTCCAAACTTCTCTGCTGATGCGACTGTTCTAGCCGATGAGCGTGACAACCTTCGTCAGGCCGATTCCGGAAATCCCCGTATCAGGGATCTCAACGCGGAGATTCGACAGCTTGTGAAAATGCATAAGCGGAAAAAGTGGGAAGACCATGTGAATCTTGTAACTTCATCTCTAGTGTGAGTAAGCTTCGGTCAACCCTGAGGACACTTTCCAATCCGACGAAGCACGACGAAAGGGTCGAAATTTCTTTCAGCGACCAGGCTTCGTCGGACCCGTAGCGATGCGTGAGCTATTTTAGCCAACAGTTCACACTGCATCTTCCGGCGAACAAAGCCAAGCGTCGAGTGACCAGAAGGCTGCACAAACTGCCAACAACCTGTACCCCTCTTGCTTTCACTAGTGGTGAAGTTCGGGTAGCCATCGGGAAG